AAGCTGTGTACAATCTCAATCTCTTCACCATCCATGCTGATGCTGCCAATTGGTCCAGTGGTGAGAATCTTTGTTTTCTTGACATTGTTTCATAACTTGGGAGATACTAGAAAGAATTTGAACTAACTCAGTCTCATAAGGACAAATACTGGAAAAGACCATTAATGTAAAAATAGCTAATTAGTAAAACATGTATGGAGAGTCAAGGAAGAAAGGACTGGGAGCATAGGGGTGAGGCTGGGCAGGGGTGAAATCATAGGGCCACACAATTTGGTGGGTGGAGGGAGGGGGATTTTGAAAAGGAAATGGGAACGATCTGGCAGGGATCTGGAAATATGGTGGGCAGGTTCAATGGTGATTAATTTTATAAAACATTATGAACGGAGATGCTTGGGATGATTGTAGGAAACAATGTGAATGAAGGATACAATGTATACGAACTTTGTAAGCAAATCAAAATAAAATAAAAACTTTAAAAGTACAGCTCTTACTAGTTACTCTTCTCTATTTTTTTAAACTTTATAGTGTGTTTTGGGTGAAAGTTTACAGAGCAAATTATTTTTCCACTCAACAATTCAAACACATTTTGTCTCATGACATTGACTACAATCCCTACAAAGTATAACATTCATCTCACGTAGTCCCTGTGTTTCCAATTTCCATTCATCCCTCTTTCTTATTCCTTTCTGCCTTCTGCATGTTATCTCTGGGCAATTGCTGGCCCTTTGAACTGGTATGGTTGGTTGTTCTAAGGAGTGTGTAGATCTCTGGTGTATACACTTACAGACTTTCCTAAGTTTTGGATGAAAGTTGAACCATAGGGATAGGGGCTCAATTCCAGGCCTGAACAGTGACTAATAATCATAGTTTCAGAGGTTCCACTAGTCTCTATCAGACAAGTAGGTAAACTAGTCCGTTTATGATTTTAAGTTATGTTCTATTGTTTCTTCCCCCTCCCAAGTGTACTTTTTAAAAAAATTGATTTTTTTATAAAGTTCATGTACATGGTGTGTCACACTATTCCTCATTCATATTGTTCCATACTATCATTCTCCTGCATGATGTTTTTTAAAAGTTAATCACCATTGGATTAATCATCATTACTCTGTCTTGTCATCTCAGTCCTCCTCATTTCCAATCCCTTCTCTCCACCCACCAAACTGTGCAACCCTGTGGTTCTTATTATTTCTTCTGGGGCAAACTGTTACTGTTTTTATTGATTGCTATTGAGTCAGGCATGACTCATAGAGACCCTATGAATAAAAGGTCTGAAGCCTTTCTTTAACCATCATCAGTTATCAAAGCTCAGAGAGTTTCCTGAGGCATATTGTTTAGCAAGTGGATACCAGTGTTGCTGGGGCAAACTACTTAAATAAAAATATCAAACACCACCACAACTCTACTTTCTAGTGGAATAAATGAGGTCTGTATAAAGGTGTTTTTAAATATATAACCATATGGTTATAGCAAGTAAATTTTAGGAAAACCTAAAGATTAAAACTTTAGAGAAAATCTACTACTATAAAGTAAAAAATTAAAAAATTTCAGAGTTTGTTATTTGTCATCTGAAGACCTGCCCAAGTATGTAACTATATTCTTAATTAACTGAAGCTTTCAATATAATATTCTAATTTTAACATTTTCTTTCTGTGTGTGCATGTGCACACACAAGTATATAACCACCAAAGCAGGGTTTTTAAAAAGCCAATATTTGTTAATACTGATGAATATTTTTATTTAAAACTTGTGTGCAACACAACACAGATTGAAGGGGGAAAAACCTATTCAGAAGAAAACAGTCATCTTACAAAAAAGATTTAATGTCCACTCTTGAAGCATATCTCACAGCATGGCTAATATGGGAAGCAGATCCCAAAAAACCATTTACATACCTGATTTTTCACACTGGCATATCTTTTCAAATGTTTTATAAATTCTTGACGAGAAGTGTTTCTTACAATGATAAGAGCCATACTTCCATTATTTAATCTGAAATCAAATATTTATATGTGAAAAGTTTACTAATAGATAGGATAAGTTACAACTACATAACTCTTTCAAACAAATACAATGTTTATGAGATGCTTTTGGCAAGAACAAAATCATGCATTAAATCTATCTTATATTTTAAACCTTCACTGCGTGTCTTATAAATCAAACTGCCTTTCCAATATGTTTTATTCAACAATTGCAATTGGCTTCCTTTTTAATAAGGTATTAGCTTAAAGTGCTTAAAAAGACAAGAACCATCTTGTATCCTAATTACAGATCAACACAAAGTTTAAAATCCACAGTAATTATGCAAAAATTCTAAATATACATTTTAAAGCATATACTATAAATAGTTAATATATAGAAATAATATAGAGGAAAATGGAACACTCAAATCTAAAATGTGATTTAAATGTTACGTATGGGCACAAGGTCTAAGTGACATTGAAAACGAAATAAATCAAAATGGCCCTTTGATGGATGAAATTGGATGAACAAATGCTGCCACATGTTTCATTCAGTGATGGGGCATTTTAATCTTTCACAATTGTCCTGTTCAATAATAAGAGACTACAAAGTCGGAGGTGTGATGTCCCATGAAAAAGGCACAGGAAGACGCATCTAGCTGTAGAAGGCACTTTGCGGAAAAACATGCAAATGACTTCCAGATCTTTCAGCGCAAATGTGAAGATGTTCCAAGAAAAACAACACTGGCGTTGTAAATGAGCTTTGAATCCTACAGGAATTCAGGATAGGGCTCTAAGGACTATTGGGAATTATCTAACAATATATTTCTTTTGGTGGCCTAGGGAGCTGTAGGGGCTTACTAGTATGGAGTTGTTCGGCCAAGCTGAAGGCATATGGTTTGAATCCACCAACTCCTCTGTGGGAGACAGATGGACAATCTTCTCCAATGTGATTTACAGCATCTGACAACCTGCTGCATGGTCAGCTATGAGTCGATTCTGACTGAATGGCACACAACAGCAACAACAGAACATTATTTATTTAACATAAAAAGAAAATAAGCCCAGCATTCACGTGATACATTTAAAGGCACACAGAGAACAACTAAATCTACATGACTACTGCAACCACAGCTCTTTATTCTGAAGACCAGTGCTCCAATCATCTAAAACAAATAGTTTCAATGCATTTGAAGTAACATTAGCATATGTTCTTTATAACATGAAAAAATAACCCCTACAGTTGCCTATTACTATTTAAGAAGAGAAACATGCCAAAGTGTCTGCTACCTAACATTTTATATTTTATTGATTCGTTTAATCTTTGAATGTAAGAACTTTAAAGAGTTGTGTTGCTACTCCCAAAGGTGCATATCTCTGGCTGTTTGAATGAGACTTAGGGAAAAAGAGAGTGTCTCCTGTCTCGCAGATTACAGCCTTAAAAAGGGTTGGCTATTTGAGTCAGTTCTCACTAGATCGCAATGAGTTCTATCATCTATTAGGAATTTAGGAGCCCTGGTGGGGTGGGGTGTAACTTGTTGGGCAGCTATCCAAAAGGTATGCAGTTAAAATCTACCAGTGACTTCATAAGAAGTTATTTCAGAAGAAAGGCATAGCAGTCTTCTTTTGTAAAGATTACAGCCATGAAAATTCAATGGGGCAGTACTACTCCATCCTTTAGTTGCTATGACTCTGAATCAGCTCAACAGCAATGACGCTGGATCAGTAGGTTTAGTCGTCATTCCTTGGAAAAGGCAATTGTTGTTATATGCCGTCAAGTCACCTGTGACTCATAGTGAACCTATGTACAAAGGCCCTAAACCCTGCTCTATCTTGTGACAATATTATTGTCTCTGATACACCCACCCCTACGACCCCAATGATATCCTTTAAAATTGAATAGTCAACACAGTTTGAACTCTAGTCAAGGTAAAACTTTATAAATGGCATTGACTGAAGTGTGGGTCAGCTCCTTCAATGAGCACAGGCCTCTTTTCCATGGAAGCCCGTGAGCAAGTGCCAAAGTTCAGATGGAGCAGAGTGAGACAAGCAGTGCCTCAACTTATGCAGAAGGTAGGTAGTTCCATCTGTCAGCTCCCCACAATGTTGCACGTTGTCTTTTCTTTAGAGGGAGAAGGATGTGAGAACTATATTAGGGAAGATTTTTGGGGAAATGATAAGGAGACAGGCCCAAATTCTATGTCCACAAATTTTAAGACACTTGTTTCATATTTTGGCACGAGAGTTCATCAGGGCAGACCTTGACATCTTTTTCTTCCTTAACTTTGGTTGTTTCTTTGTTATCACCACATCTATCACTTCTCGGCCTTTTGGCTAAGATCAAGTTAGTATGTGTATGTTATTGCCAAAGAAGACATTTGAAACCAGTCCCTCTTGCTAGCTGTTAACCATTATGGTTATTACTCTAACATGGTCTAGTGATCAAAACATTTAACATATTCTGGTTAAATATTCTGTGGGGAAGATGACATTAATGGTTAAAATGAGATTATAAATTGCCAAAGTACATAACTCATTCTTGTATTTCACCTGCAACAGAGATCTAAAGTTGAGTGTGGAAAAATATCTTTGTACTTTTATTTGAAACTATATGTAATTGAATTTTAGGGAGAGACCAGACAGCTGTTTAAAAAGAATGTACAAGAGGGAAAATATCAATATCATATTTATAAAATAATATACAAAACATCCATGGTTCATTTAACTGCAAACATGAACAATAAGTCTTAATGTATCACTAATTATGCTAAATATACTGGACTATTTCCTTTGACTAAACATACCACGCATACACATGCAGTTTTTTTATGCTAATGGCATTTATTCTTGCACTGAAATTGGAAAACGTTTCTAAAAAACTACAGAATTTAATATAATGCCCCAAGAAGTGGTAAACCAAAAAGTAACTATAAATAACTAAAACGAACAAATTAAATAAGCCTAAGGTAATATAAAATGGCATCAATAAAACCCAAAGTATATTATTTTCATTTCAGTGATAGCTGTAAATCAGATTCATTTCCCAGGTTAACAGTTGTTCTGAAGCTAAGAACAAATCTCTTAACCTTTTGACTATTAGATAAAAGACACTCCATTTCTTGGTAATATTTTATCTATCCAAGAGTTAAGTAAATCTTGTCGGAGGAAAATTAATTATTATGCTTTTGTAAGAAAATGAACAATGATTCAATAAAAGATGATTACTGACCTGGTATTAGGTGCCAAGCCTCTCGGTGCTACAGAACACAGGCAAGGAATTGCCATAATGCTGACATTCAAGAACTGACCCTGGATCATTTGCCATTGATCATTATTGTCTAAAGGCAATGGAAGTGATGTGTTACTTTCCCTCACAGAAGTAATTATCGATAGAGCCTGGCTCCATTCTCAAAGAGATAGTTTTGAACTCACCAGATTTGGGAGACCTCTGTGCTCCCCTAAAATATAAAACAAAAGAAAAAAGTACATATCACACACAAAACAGTATCTGTCAAATATGAGGAAATCAGAGTATGACATTACACATATTAAAAAATTTTTAAACATTTTCATAAATGAACTAGATGGTAAAAAAAATTCTTCTCTTTCCAATATTGCAATATTCCAATGTGTTCAGTCATTTAAAGGTAGAATAGGGGAATAATTATAAAGCACAATAATTTTCAGTTTCTTTAAAGACTAGAGTCCTTCCATCAAAGAAATGTTACTTAATATTTTCTATTCCTTTATATTTTAGTTCATCAATTCAGTGGAAAAGCCTTCTTGAAACTCTGGTGAGAATAATTCCCTCTGGAAAGTCTTTCTGGTATCAAGTACTTCTATATATTCCATCAAAATTTTGTGTGTCTTTGGCTGATATTTGTATCCACACTAGATAAATTCCCGTAAGGGTAAACATTCTATATATTATTTATTTGTTTTTTTTAAATTTATTTTCTTCCTTTTTTTCTTATTTTGAATGAATGGGTGAGTAAATGATTATTTCCAAAGGTAGAAGTCAAACTAAATAGCCTGCTAGAATTTGTGAGGCTCCACAATTCTATATTCTTCACATGTAGGCTACAAAAATAATTTTTAAAAAATCTTAAAGCACAAGTCTGACTAACCACTTAAGTAAAACAATTTTATGCTTAAAAAAAAGACACTTAGAAATATCTAAATTATTTTGCATTTTCACCTACCCTTCTTGAAAATCTTGAGATTTTTTCAATGGTAAAAATGATATTTCACAGTCTTCTGGCCTAAAAGATAAAAAAATGTTATTGGTCTTGGTATTAATACTTACTGACCATGCAAAGGCTTCCCTCTCACAGCTGATTGTTAACTAAATCCAAACGACCAATTTACACCAACTTTCAATTAAATCAAAACAACCTACCCTCCAGAATCTAACTGTTTCACATAGGAGGCTCCAAACTGTAGACTTTTAGTCAGGTCCCAATTGACTTTTAAATACGAATATGTCTTGGACATGGTACAGCCAGAGTGCTCTTTGGAGGCAAGAATGTTGAGGCTTTGCCTCACATCCTTTGAGCGTGTTGCTAGGGGGGCTGTTCCTTGGAGAAGGACATGAGTGGCAAGAGGGTCAGTGAAGGAGAGGAAGACCGTCAACCAGGTGGATTGACATGGTGACTGCCACAATGGGTTCTTGTGTGTTAGGAAGTATGAGGATGGCACAGGATAGAATAGGTAGGGTTCAGATCTTTTATTTATAGGATCACTATAAGTCATACTCAACTCAGTGGCACTCAGAAACAACAACATGCAAAAGCATTTTTCTCTGTGGATCGTAACAAATTATGGACAACATTGTGAAGACTGGGAATTCCAGAGCAGTCAGTTGTGCTTCTCTGGAATCTATACCTGGAACCAGAAACAGTTATCCAAACAGAGTAAGAGTTTAAAATAAGGCAAAGTGTGCATCAATATTGGATCTTTCACTGTAGCAGTTCAATCTGTCTGCTGAACAAACAATCCAAGAAACTGAACTATAGAAAGAAGAATTTGCCATCAGGAGTGCAGGAAGGCTTAGTAACAACCTGTGATAACGAGATGCCACGACCTTGATGACACCTTTAGTATAGATAACACTTCAGCATAATATAAATATCCTAACAACTGATCCAATAAGCAATAGATGGGTAAACAGAGAAAACACTGAAGCTTTAAAAGACTTAATTTACTTGGATCCATAATCAATAAACATCCTAACACCTGGCCCATAAAAATAGATAGATAAATGGAGAAAAGACAAAAGCTGTAAAAGATTATTTACTTGGATCCATAATCAATATATAGATGCTGGTGCTGTTGTTGTTAAGTCTCATTGAGTATTAATCATAGCGACACTATGAACAAAAGACCTGAACCCTGTTCTATCATCGTTTCCTTATGTTTATAGAGTTTCCAGAGGCACATGGTTTAGGAAGTAGATGCAACTCTTGCTTCAAAACCGGAATCAATCTGGGAGCTCCACCAAACACTGTCCACAATAGCTAACCATTATGGCATTTGACGCAGGTATGGCACAGCGTTCAGCATCACAACAATCCCAAGTTACTTCAATACAACAAACAGACAACTTCTGTCCCACTTCGAAGAATGTTCATCCCAAAATCAATTAACACTAGGCCCTCAGACCACAAACCTTCAGGCCCTACCACCTTTTAAATACAAGGCACATCCACAAGGTGCTGGTTGACTGTAAACCAAGAGACTTCCAACCCACAGCTAATTGTTAGCTAAATCTGGCACTAGACGCAACAATAGAAACATTAAACAACTTTCTGCAATGGGAAAAACCTGTTGTAAGAGACTTCTTTAAAATGTTAACAAGTAAAGATTTCACTTTAAAAATGAAGATGGCATTGACCAAAATCACAATTGCTTCATGTGCTCGTTAAAGCTGGACAATCAATAGGAGAGATCAAAAAGAATTGACGGCAAAAGAACAAATCTGTCTTGAAAGAAGCACCAATAGATAGTTCCTTAGAAGAAAGGATGGTGAAACTTTGTCTTACATGCTTTGATTATATTATCAGAATCCACCAGTTCCTAGAGAAAGGCATCATTGAGGATCAGTGCTAAAAAGGAGATGGATTGGCATAGTGGCTGGAACACGAGGTTACACACAAAAGGTATTTTGAAGATGGTGAGGGATTGGGTAGAATTTTATTCAGTTTTACACAGAGTCACCATGAGTTGGAGTTAACTGGATAGCACCTAAGAACAATATCTACTAACTGTTATCACTGACTCTGGGTTACAGAATAGTTGAGACTTTAAAAATATATATATAGATAACTTACTTAAGTTTTGCCAGTGACTTAATTACAGCAAAATCTCTCCGTTGACCAGGGGACATCCATCGATATTTTTCCGCCACAGCCAGAGTTCTTCCACCAAAACCAAACATGGCTGAGAATCCAAAACGAAGAAGCTTGCCAGTGGTGCTGAAGGTACAGACATCAACTGGTTGTATGTGTCCTTGAATATCACCAGCCAAATAATCAATGAGCACAGTAGAACCATTTGTTAAAACAGCAAATATAGGTAAATATCATCTCTTGAACTTTATCTCTCATTACCTATAGCTGCTGTAACTGCCATTTAGAATTTTCTTCAAGTTTTAAGTGAAGATATAGAAAGAAATAAGTTTTACAGCTTATTTCTATTTCCTATAAAATATAATTAAAGATAGAATTTAAAAGAGATTTGCAAAATACACTTAGTTTAACTAGTTTTATTGTATTTATCAGACTATATGTTTTCTATCAAAGGATAATAAATGGTCTGGAGAATGCATACAAGCTAAAAAATTTTTTTTTCATTGTGCTTTCTAAATACAGCTTAATCCTAGTTCACGAGTAAGGACCAAGTCAAACAACATTGTCTAATAAAATAGCAAGCACTGATTTTCTTGGTCTGTTCTTAAGACTGTAATTTGGAAAAAATAACATTACAATATTTTTCCCTGTAAATTCTACATAAGCATGGCCTCATTTACTATTGTTTGTAGAAGCATATATTGTGAGGGAAAATAGGCTGTCCAAATGATGAAGCTTTGCCTAATTGACTTTTGCGTCTTTAAAGTGAAGTATTCCCTTGCTTTGGAAGACAAAGAGGCTGATTTTCCTCAGGTAGGTCTCACAGAAATAAAGTGTCTTTTCTTGTATAAATAAAATCATCCTTATAAAATATTAACTTACTTGAAGGAAGTCTTACCCATTATAATGTGCAAAGTTGCAGTTACCACATGAGAGACTCCATGAAGAGAGTGTGCTAATACATTAGTAGAGCCTGTCAAATCAATGTGAAAACATGCACAATCAGTGTATTTGCCAAAGCTTTATTTTATATACATGTTGCTAGTTAATGTTCTGATGAAAAATTTATGGAAGTTTTTAAGAGTAGGATGAAGGACTGATGTTGGACTTCTGAAACCTTTTATGTATAACTATTCTATACAATTGGTAAAAATTAAGCTTAGAAATAGATGAGGGTCTAATAGAAGACTGTATCTGAAGAACCAGGAATACAAAGAGCTGCACAAATAGTAACTATAAATAAAATCTATAAAAGAATTGCAATTACTATTGTAAATGTTTCTGATATAGATATTTAGAACCTAAAATGCCCTTGCTGTTAAGATAACTTCCACTTTGAATGGCAAAAAGGACCAAACACTTTCCAACCCGCAGAATTGTCACTGATTGACTCCAAGTCAGGTTTCTCCTTTAATCTTTCCTTGCTTGTACATCTTTAGCAACTTCCTGGGATCTAGTACTAATTACTTCTACCAATAACATCCCTACCATTACATCTCTGTCTCTTCTTCTAAGACTTCCTTCAGTCTGATCCACTGCATTCTGTTTTATATATAAAATTTTTTTTAATTATTAATAATTGAATGCTATCTTTCCTTAGGCTACAAAGATTATCATTTGCTGAGCAAATGGAGAGTAGAAACGTTCAAGGAGTAGGGCTTCCATGCTTCAATTATAAATCTTAAATCTGAGGTTGTAAAGAGTTTTTATTTAAAGGTTGCTCAAAGTCTTTTTGCATTTCAGTCATCTGTAATCAGTTTTGAAAATGTAAAATTTCAGAGCCCTTATTTACCACAACTCAACAACTTTGAGTGGAGTGAGTTAGGATTAATCACATACTTGGAGTCCCTGGTGGTACAGAACATTAATGTACTTAGGGAAACAAAAGATTGGAGGTTTAAGTCTCCTCAAAAACATTTCATGGAAAAGAAGCATGCCCATCTACTTCTAAAAATGATCCATTGACAACTTTATAGAACACAACTCCACTCTGCCACATATGGGGTCACTGTGGGCCAGAGCTGACTCAATGGCAACAAATTGCTACCCCAAACCTAATGGAAAGAAGTATGATGAGTTAGGGACATTCACAGTTTCCAAGTGAGGGACCTTAGAAAATGTTTAAGTCATCTACCTAAGTAAATTACTCAAAGGCATAAAAACTTAAGGGGAAAAGATGCAAAATAGGTCTTTTCTATGACTTTAACACTGAAAATAGGTACAAGTGTGTATCTTCCCCTGCCATAATTTTCAAAGACTTATCCAAGTAAACTAGGATTGATCTCTAAGAGTGAAAATACATTATTATAGCTAAGAGTAATGGAAAAATGTTATCCCCTTCCTTTACTCATATAAGAATGAAAAATGTATGGGTCAAAAGTTTGCTCCTAGTCATCTAACATATAGTCATTGAGATAAAACAAATGACTATATACAATTTTGATAATCTGAAATTATAATTTTCAGATAGGTACAAAAGTAAGGAGATTATTATAATCAGCCCCCATAACTCAGTTTAAACAATTTATCAATTTTCTGTTGTCATTTACTTCCCATTTAAAAAAAATGCAGTTAGCAAAAATACCTTTACCACATCTCAAAAAACAAGGAGAAAAACCAATAACTTTGAAAGAATATACGAGTCACTGTATCGAAAGGAATTGGCAGACACAGAAGAATTTCATGACACAACATATGAGCAAGAGCCTATGGTGATGAAGAAAGAAGTTCAAGCTGCTTTGAAAGAAATAGCAAAAAATAAGGCCCCAGGAATAGATGGTATAC